TAATTCCGTTACTGTGGGCTTTTCAAATACATTTATGACACCATTAGAATATATATAAAATGTATACAAATGTACTACAGTCAATTTGATATTTAGTTAAGTCTATACCTACCAATTTACGACCACTTTTAAATATCTTATTTAAGTTTGTAAGCTCACTACAAGAGTACATTAAAAATTTACCCTTTTTTAAATTACACAAATCAAGTAGGTATGCGTAAAATTCTGAAGGCTCTACATTTTCTTCTACTTAGTTTCTTTTTATTTATGATTTGTTTTTTTTTAATTATTAAAATTGTTAAAAAAAAGTTTAAAAATAAATTGTTTCTTAGATAATGAATAAACTTCCTTGTTAATTTTCAAGAAAAATATTCATTTTTATTAATAACGTCCAACATTATAGGTACTTATTTTAAACTACTCTGACATTTTAAAAATATTTTTTTCTATTGTGTAATACAAAAACTTTGTTTTGTGTTTTATTTTATCCCAATTCTACAAACAAATCGTAGTCTTCATAATAATAATGGTTCCCAAACAAGAAGACTGCCATAACCTTTGTACCAGGCGCCTCTCTAACGTTCCGGAAGGAAATTTTAAAGTGGTCGTAAATAGGTAGGTATAGGTTAACCCAAATATAAAATTGACTGTGGTAGATTTATGGACTACGAACTTATCGAAATATTTTTTTAAATGATAAACAAGCTCATTATTGAAACAAAAAAATCAAAAAACTGACCGCATGAAAATGTATGATACCTACCTACGTCTTCCATGCTTGCTTACTTGACGTAAAGATATCTAAACACTGATATATAAAAAAGTAAATTTCTGCTAATAAATACTAAATAGGTACGTAGGTAGGTATTTTTTTTTAAATAATATTTTCGGACATTGACACACAACGCCATCTAGTTTCAAACTAAGCAGAGCTTGTTATATGAAAGCTAGATTGACTGATAGAATACTTACATACTTTTTTTTGTAAATACATATAATATATTATACATAGAAAACACCCCAACTCCGAAACAAATATTTGCAGACCGGGAATCGAACCCGAGACCTCAGCACTGCACTGCAGCGAGGCAGCGCGGCGCAGTCACTACTCGTATATAAGTTATGAGATGCTCAAAATTTGAAAATGGAACACATCTATGTCATATATTATTAAAAGGCAAATTTATTTGAAAATCGAACACAAAAGGCCATACAAAAAAAGTATTATACTGCCTTTATTTCCCGCTTATTCGTTGGCTCTTGTACAATGGAGCTTAAACGTGAACATTTGCGTGCTATGATATACCTATGTATGTATTACGATTTTAAATGTGGTTTATCTGTAGGTTTAAGCTTAGAACGTTTTAAATCTGCTTTAGGTGAGTCTGCTCCTTCTCTGGCAATTTTAAATAGTTTAACGAATTAAAAAGGGGGACAACTAGCATTGGAGATGATGACAGCAGTGGACGCACGCCAACAGCAGTCATTGTCATTGTGAGATAAATTACACACAGGGACATAGAGAAAATCTTAGGCATCAGTTCGGTTTGTGTTCACACAATGTGACATGGACATCTTAGAATGAGGAAGCTTTGTCGTCGTTGGATACCTCGTTTGCTCTCTTTTGTTTTTGATGGCGTGAGATGCGTCTACGTTTTGAAAATGGGAGGTCAACACGTGTTTCTGAAATCATTACTGGCGACCAAACATGCATATAACAATATGATCTAGAAAGCAAGAAGCGTTGCTTGGTATGGGTGTTTCTAGATGGCCAGTTGCCAAATAAATTGTAAAGACCGCGGAACGTTGGCAAAAATATGGTGGACAGTTTTTTTATGGAGTGGACATCTTGCACCATGAATGCTAGAGAATTCTGTTAATTTAGAATTTCACACTACGGGCGCATTGCCAATTGTTTTCAAAGCTGTCTGTGTAGAAGAGACAACCAAAGACCCGGCCCCGGGGAATGATGCTGCAACACGATAATGTGTCTTTACACTGTTCGATCAGAACAAAGGCGTTTAACAAGAATCGGGTATTGAAACCCTACCTCACCCACCTTACAGCCCCGACTTAGCTCCTTGTGATTTATTTTATTCCCCACTATTAAAGATGAAGAAGAAGAAGCGGTGGCTGCCTACGAATCAGCTATTTTTGACCTGTCGGAGGAAGACTGCAATAACTGTTTCCAAGATTGGTTTAGGCGGATAGAAATTAGTATAGAGAGTGATGGAGAGTTTTTAAAAAGAAATATAAGAAAAATTGTAAACAAGTATATTTTGTTGACTTTTTGCGTGTCCCAAAATTTATATAGTAGCCTACGTATTAGTTGAAATATCGATTTACAATTTTCAACTTTACGTAGGTTTCTTATATTAAGGGTTAAATAATCATGTTTGAAATTTTTAGGTACAAGTACCTCCTTGCACCAGGGCCTTCCTTTCTAGGGTATACCTGGTTCCCCGGCTATTAGTACCCGGCGAAGGCGTGCGGTTTTAGTCGGTTCGAGTCCGACATGCCACCGACAGGTGGTATCCGAGGGGATTTCCGCACGGAAAAAAAAAAAAAAAAAAAAAAAAGGTACAAGTACCTCCTAGCTTCATGAAGTGAAAAGGAAAAAAAAACAACATTACCATTATGTTCATTTTGCGACATTAGTTACCTACTATTTTATTTGAGTAAAACTTTGTTTTAACCAATAACATTGTGTACAACTCTTATACTATATCCCAACACCTTATGATATAGACATTTTTATATTTTTGTATGTATGTATATAAAAGAATATGAAAATGACTGAACTAATGGATTTCAGCCGTTTAATTAGATAGGTCGGTACTGATTCTAATATCTTCATTTCAGACAGGGCCAGGGCTATTAAGAGCCCTTTGCACAAGAATATATGAATCTTCAAAACACCGCTGTGTGTCTACAAAATACGGACAGCCTCTTTGGTTTGTCTGAGCGCCTAGTACTCCTGTGCGCGATGCGGTCCACTAATGGGAAAATGGACGCCACCGGATAAAAAAAAATGGGTTGGGTTGGCGTTGGGTGCCTGTTGTCAATAGTAAAAAGCACCCCACGCTTTTTTTCAATATTTTTTTTCTATTTTTTAGTTTGGTTTTCTATAGAAAGCGTGTTTTTTAGTTTTTTTAAACTATATTTTTTTTATTTTATTTTTAATTAGTGTATTGTCATCGGTCCTTGATATATCTACAAAGTTTGAACGAATTCTGACCGTTTAAAGTAGATCAAAATCACGCCCAAAGGAGTTACAAACATACAAGTGAAGCTAATATAAAGCGTGTAAAAATAAAGTTAACGAATAAAGTGTACTGGCATACTTCGCAGATATGAATAATAAACTAATTTACTTTATTCCAGCGACAATGAAAATTATGTATATTGTAAATTATTATGTAAATTATTATACTTGAAGGTAAGACTTTAAAAATAACTCAAGAGTTATTATGGATCATCTTCGAAATGAATCACGATTTCCGGACTAAGGTCGGATACGGATGTAGGCCGGATGCAAAACCGGAAATTCGTTCAGGATGTGCTAGGGCGGCAGGAACTGATAGCAGGTCCTTATCTAGAGCTGAAAATCAATATCCGGTAAGACTCCACCCCTAATGAAATACAAGTACAATAAAGCATGTACATACAGCTCGAAAGTAGAGATGGGAATATTTAGAAATATTACTAACACTATACTATACTGACAATATTATTATTTTTTTAGTTAATTATCTATCATCGAAAATTAATCTATGTAATGAACATTTACATCATAAATTTTAATTAAACGTACCATGTTTTTTTCACCTCTTCTAATAAGTGTAGGAAGTGTCCTTACAAAAATATCGATATCCCGCAGCAACTATTTATTGGAAATGAATCGGCGATTGCCGATAATGTCGATCTGTTCGGAAAACACCAAGGCAGCATGGGTACCGAGGAGTTAACTTGACCAGTAATCGATATTCCATTAATACGTATTCGAAGCTATAGAGCTCGGTATATCGGTTCGAGAACAGGTGAATGAAACGAGGGGAGATGAATGTAGGGTGAGGCGGGCTCTAGCGTAAAGTGTATAAGAAGTACGGAGCGCGCTTGCGCTGTATCAAAGCCTGATTATCTCTCAAAAATATAAATGAATAAAATGTACTTATTTAAAACTTCATTGGATTTTGATTACTTTGGATTCCAAATAAAAATAAAACGAAGTCGAGTCACTTCTTACCAAATGTTTTAATAATGTTATGAAATAAACAATGCAAAACGTCGACGTCCCTTTTACCGTTCCAAAAAAGTACTGAATCATAAAAATACACACTCAAAAACAAAATAAAAAGAAACCCAGCTGAGAGCATAATGATATGCGTAATTAGACCGAAGAAGTAACAGGACAACATATTATACTGAGGATAGAAAAAGGGCCAAGGGTACAATTTTAAAGGATTTCGTCATCTCACGCAAGAGCGAAGGGGCCTCGACGACCGTGCCTGTTTGTTTCGCTGTGGTACTGCGCGCCATTTCCCTTCCTGAAAGCTCGCAATCTGCTCCTACTAGGATAGCATAATGTGTAAGATAGTGCTGAGAGGTGTCTAAAGGTTTCATCCCCAAAGTAGGCGGAGAAATGCGCGCGCGTGGGTGTTGTTATGGAAACGGTGTTGCCCATATACTAGTGAAGTATGAGCTTGTAGAAGGTTGACTTTATAAAGCTGGATTGTGCTTCGAAGCTTTAAAGATGTACACAGGCAAATCAGGTTTACCTATAACTCGTACATCGCAGTTGTTCTTAATTTACTTTTTCTGTTCAAAGAAATATGGCAGTTCTTTCTTATGAAACTTTTTATGAAATTGATCATCCATCAATTTCATAAAAAGTTTCACGTAAATCAAGTTTGCAACTGCGAGTTAACTAAATAATTTTAAATCTTAGTTACTTATAAATTTTATTTTATCTGTTTTCATTTAATACTAATATGTACTTATTATTGCATAACTTTATTGAGTATATTGTGCGTAGGAGGAGCGTGGAACGCGCTGGTGGTCAGTGTTGGTATGTATGCCACGGCCGTGTCTGTTAGTCTGTTTGGTTGCCAACTGGCCGGTGTGGTGGGCTGAGTCGCGCGGCCACTACACCAGGCGCTTAGCAAGGCGAGGTGGTGCGGTACAAGTGCATCGAGTGCATTCACCCCCGCTGCACTGCACTGCACTTTCATTTGACGCTGTGTCTCCGTGAGTACGCACGCACGAATCAGAGCTGTTAAATAATTTATCGTGAATGAGAAAACAAATCAATTTAGACCCTGCAGTTGTGTTCAGCAAATTAAAAAAATGACATTAGGTCTAATTTGTGTGACTCTTGTTCATTGAGACAGTGTTTAATTAGGTTGTGATGGTACCGCAAATACCCTAGCCTGAGTAAAGCAGTTTTTCAACTATAAAACACGTAGCCAGCTCCCCTCCCTGTGGGGGAGGTCTAACGCTCCTCCAACCGCGCCAGGCTGTAAGACTCGACCCTGACTGGACATCTTCCCACTGGCTTTTTAACGTTCGAATAAACAACAAAAGACCGCGATAAGAGGGAATCAAAGTCTAAATGAAATAATTAAATACATTGGTATTGGTTGTGCTTATCCTATCAGGCTTTCATCCATTGTGCACTTAAGCTTAAAGTGAGTCAATCAACTTCTACAACTGAATGCTCAAGGCCGCAAGGTCAGACACGTGAATACTGCTCGTCTGATGTGGCATTAACCCTTATGCTACCGGACACAACGCGTGCGCCGACGGCGGACTCGGACCGCTCGATCTCCATCAATTCATCAACAGCATCAGTGCTTTCCCGCAAACCGACCACCCAGGACAAGCCCATTAAGACGCTCTCCACTCAAGTACACGGCACTCACTGAACCTACACTAACCTCCTCCTAAATACACCACAATGACAGGTCACCGAAGTATAACCGTGTAGCAAGGACCGCGGCCTGGTTGATCTGATCAACCAAGGTGGTCATATCGCCTCAGTTATAACTCGATTCACCACACTGTAGAGCACTATAAAGGGGTCACTAATCATTCTATCACATTCAAGATATCTTAACCAATACCAAATGCGTAAGTAAAATCTAGCAGGGAAACTGCATGGAAACTACATCTAAATTATTAATTAATACTACGTTACTCAGACCGGAATATAAATACGTATAATAATAATCCTAAAACATAATAACCAATAAAGACTCACCTAGCTGTCCTCAAAGTTCTATATATTTAACTTACTCAAACTAACTGCAAAACGCGCGTCCGAGCATGTTCAGCTTTTGACGAACACCCTCTGCCTCCTAGCTCCTAAGACCGACCGACCTGTCTTACGACTCAAGACCAACTGCCCCGTTCCTTATTCCTTATCGTTCCTAAAAGGACTCCTAGCTAAGGGCTTTTCTCACGCTTATTCGTGTGCTGTCTTGCACATGTGCCCGTTTTTAATTGCTATCGTGGACCCTTGGCTATCCCTTTTTTATGGTATTCGTCTTAAGAATGCAATAAGTCTTTTGTTCATAATGGGCCGTCATCCACTTCGCAATACTTGAGATCATAAAGTTCACTTATTTATTAGGGTCTGCTTTTTGTTCGTCTAGACCTTAAATGCACGTGTAGATAACTTTCTAACATTACTTGTCTAAAATAACATTTATGTGAAGTTTTATAATTACGTGATTGTAGTACTATCACATTTTCCCCCCTGAAATTCAGACGCGAAGAATATATCGAAGCGTATGGGATTTCACTTATCTTTAACTCGAGCACAGTGATTGTAGTAGATCTTTGTTAAAATTTCTTTAACTTAGCAAATCGCATGATTTGTTGTAGTTGTATATATCCATGGTTCTCTACACATTTGGAAATCGGTTTGGCTGTCACGTCCCAGGCTCTACCTCACACCTTCAAACCCAATAATGTCAGGATCCTTTCCAAGCAGTTTTTGGTTCATCTAGAACTAACCGCAGTGTTGGAATATTTCGTTGATAAGTTTTGGTAAATTTCCACTATAGCGTGGCAGTAGATGGGGTGATAGGAGTGATTTTGTAGTATTTGAGTACGTTTAGCACACTCGATACCAATGGTAGGCTTTGATTTTGTTAGTTAGGTAGATTTTGATTTGTGATAAGTCTCACATGATTTGACTAGTTATGTCCATTTTAACAAATTAGAATGTGGTAAACTGGTCCATTTGATTTATTATTTTTGAATAAAATAAGTATAAGTAAGTTAGTCCCATCGGCTTATTCCTCTAAGTCCTGGTAGTTTCATATAGAGCAGGTATGAGTTGGATAGACCCAGTGGCTTATTCTTATAAGTCCTGGCAAATTCATTAATAATTGGTATAAGTTAGATAGATCCAGTGGCTCATTCTTGTAAGTCCTGGCAAATTCATAAATAATTGGTATAAGTTAGATAGATCCAGTGGCTTATTCTTATAAGTCCCGGTAAATTCTTATTGAATTGGTATAAGTTAGATAGATCCAGTGGCTTATTCTTATAAGCCCTGGTAAATTCATATTCAATTGGTATAAGTTAGATAGATCTAGTGGCTTATTCTTATAAGCCCTGGTAAATTGATTTAGAATAGGCGTAAATAAGTTAGACATAGTGGCTTATTCTTATAAGACCCGTTAGAATCTTATCAAGTGACGTTTCTCTTATTAGTATGTTAGTGAATTCTCATAATCGTTACAATGAGATCTGTATATGCTCGTAAATTAAACATTAATAGCAATATGAAGTCGTTCCAAAATTATCTCCACATCCCGTTTTGCTACATTATACTCCTTCCGTTTCTCACAAATAGAACTGACCAAAGTGGTACCTTGTAATAATTCAATTGATTGCATTACAATTGCAGTATCATATAAATTTTACAGTACATAATATTTGCTTAACGGTTTCCTGGCATTAAATAATAATATGCTTACATACCTCGAGGTTTCAAGTAATAACAAATGTTACCAGATACAGTTAACCTACACGCCTCTCATTTTGAACTAGCGTCCTCATAATAGAACTTCATTTCACCATCGCCCCGCCTCTCTTCAGGTTCCAACGTCGCTCTGCCTTTCTTTCACTGCAACCTCGCTTATATTCTAAGCCTGCAGCCACGAAGAGTAGCGGCTCCCAACGAGTAGTTCACGTTGCAAATATGCAACATCCACAATTACTGAAACGTGATAATACCAAAGCAGAGGATTTGTTTTGTACGAATTGATTACCACAGTATTTACACGTTGCATCAAAATGACCATATTCTTAGATATCTATATTAATACGTTTACATTTAACAAATAGTATTTTTTTTTCATCGACAATGTTAGTGACATTAGCACCTCTGTCTAAGCTCCTGAGAGTATTATCTCCACGTATTCATAAACATTGACAAATAAATAGCGACTAGTCTAACTCTGCTCAATAAACTTTCTATCATGAGCGCCTGTGTTTAACATTTCGAGATTGTTATCTCTATGTATACATACACAATTAACAAATCAATAATAATTATTATTCTGACTTTTCATCTAATCATCTTAACATCATCCGCGGCGAGTCTTATGCACCGTGCTTGTCCTCTCTATATACTCTAACTAATTCTTGCTTACTTTCATGTGATACTTTTTTTTAGGTACTACTATCCATCATCGTATCGTGCGGGAGTCTAACCCGTAACAGTCTGCGTTAACCGACGCTACTTTATCCATCAACTAGTTTAACAACTTTATTCGTAACATACTTATACATACATTACTCACATCACTATATCATCATCATCATCATCATCATCATCATCAACAACAACAACGTAGTCCACTTCGTAGGTTTCGTAGGTTTCGGCCTACTATACTTTAATCTAAGGAGAGGCCTATGTCCAGGAGTGGACTATTAAAGGCTTATGATGTGATGTGATGATGTGATACTTTAATCTTAGCCTTTTTCAATTAATCACGTGATCCAACAACATGGATATGAGATTCAAATGGTGTATCCCTTTATTAAGTATTTTTCTGTTGTGTTACGAACAACATCTTCAGTCAACTCTTTGTCTCTGTTTCCATAATTAACTATCAGTTATACATGTTACTCTAATCAAGGTTTCATCTATTGTAACCATAACATAAACAACCGACAGTTGTTTAACCGATTCTGCAAAGACAGCCTGAAAGCTAATGACTTAACTGTCATCGATAAGGTTTGCCCGACAATCTTAATTTACACTAGGTACATTCAGATCACTATAAATTCTACCACAAAATATTTGTGTCTAATAAATGTCTACTGTACTTCCTTACATAATTGTTTATAATTCAAACGTGTTGCTTATAATAGAATTAACTAAAGGTATAAACAACCTTACAATTTCAGCTACATGATTATTATTATTATTTTTAGCTACATGATTACATAGCTCGGGAATCGAACCCAGTAATTGATTACGATGACTGTCGAATCAAAGAATAAACTGTTACCTGTGTATACTTTCCTCGTTGGTTATATTTTATTAATGTGCAAATATTGGCTTTAACTATATTTTACGTTTCATTAAGTATATTGTTCTTTACAAGGAATCTTAAGCTGATTGTGTAAGTGTGCTAGCTTAAAGTTAATTGCATTACTCACACGAGTAAAACTAAGTAAACTACTCTATTTTGGTCAGGAATCGAACCCGGTAAGATCTCAACAATCCCAATCAATACGGTAGGATCACAACAATTACCATTCAACTATAAATTGTTTGTAATATCTCCCTTTTATTAAAATTGGACTACTGACTAGATCAACAAAATCATCATCATTTAACATTAGTTGATCCGACATGTTGAACAGCCGACTACTTGACTCTGACTAACTATTCTTAGTGAATTTATGAAACATGTTAACTATAATTATATGCAACTCACTTTGTGAAAGTTATCAACTTAGCAGTTTATTATCTAAACAATGATGCTTGATTTGTCGCATTAAATACCACAACAATTAACGCAGTCCTTTCCCTACCGCAACATACGACTGTAACGTTAAATAATTTTAATACGCTTTTTTTTTATGTCTTCTGTTCCCAGCTGCAACGGGTACAGTATTGTCTTTTGAATGAGTATTGTATTTCACATAGACCCTTACCACGTGTTTTATTATTAACTTAACTGCATATTTCTGACACGCATAAAATAATCTATTGTTTATACAAATGTATTCTGCTAGGCACAATTACTTTTTTTTTTTTTTTTTTTTTTTTTTTGAGTATCGAACTCAGTAAATGATACCAAGTAATAGATGTATTCATGATACAGTACATTTTATTCCCCCCTCAAATTACGAGTATTATACGTTTGTTGATATCTATCGTGTTGCCTATATGTAAAACGTATCTGACTGGGAATCGAACCCAATAGAAATTTAGAAATAAACTAAGAAAATAAATTGCAGAACACAGTAAATGCCATTCCCCCCTTACAAAATGATTATAAAACGTTTGTTGGTCTTTTAACATTACACCTATTAAATTAGTCTGCCTGGTGTGAAACCCAGTAAAATAATTCCATTTAACGTTAGATACTCAATGAAAGCTGAGTACGATGTACACACAATTGCACTCACATAGTATCAATCCATTTCTGTGTTTTGTAATCACACATACTTAATTTTATGTCTGATTGTCGCAACAAGTAACCCCTACGATTAAATTTAAATGAAAAGTATACGCGATCACACACACCTAGTTTTAATCTCTATTTGTGTTTTTGTAATTCTTAACAAAAATAGAATGTCTGTCTGGGAATCGAACCCAATAACCCCTACAATTAAAATAATTGAAATCTAGATGCACGATACACTCGATTAAATACATTTAGTTTTAATCGCTATTTTGTGTAATGTCGTTCTTTAAATATACAGGATGTCTATGTGGGAGTCGAACCCAATAACCTCTGCAAATTTATTTAAATTAAAACGATAGCATGTACACAATAAGTTAATCTTAGTTATATTGTTGACATTACATATAAAATATTCCTGTTCGGGAGTCGAACCCAATAATATTCAGAAATAAATAGAAATGAAATCACAGTCACTTAGTACAGTGAACCAAACAGTGCACAATGAAACAAATACGGTACAGAAATCACACATTACAAATCACATTTTATTACGAGTATACTCTAAATTATACTTAGCTATGAGCTTATTCTCAAGCGTCTAAATTAATTATATCTAACTTAGAAATACACCTATTTATCCTAGAGCTTAAGAAATTAAGTATCAGAAAACTAGCTATCTTGTTCAAATACAAACTATTCTAACTCAGAAACTCACAGAACTCTGCGTAGTGTAACACAAATAAATTTAACACAGAATAACCGTTATATAACAAAATGCGTAACTGATAAATTGTATATCTACGTGTATAAATATTTAATACTAGTACCTTGTCATAACACAGTACGCGATATATCATATATTGTAATATTTATCGACATATAAGTATTTTTATACTGGAATAAACAATTAACATGAAATATAAACTAAGTTGTGGCCAATGATATAATTTGTTTACGTTGTGTTGTGTATGTAGTAACCAAGTTCAGTTCATCCTCGTTGCACTGACGTAATAATTACGATTCAGTACATTTAATGACGAGGATCCTGGTCACGGCACCATATGTGATGGTACCGCAAATACCCTAGCCTGAGTAAAGCAGTTTTTCAACTATAAAACACGTAGCCAGCTCCCCTCCCTGTGGGGGAGGTCTAACGCTCCTCCAACCGCGCCAGGCTGTAAGACTCGACCCTGACTGGACATCTTCCCACTGGCTTTTTAACGTTCGAATAAACAACAAAAGACCGCGATAAGAGGGAATCAAAGTCTAAATGAAATAATTAAATACATTGGTATTGGTTGTGCTTATCCTATCAGGCTTTCATCCATTGTGCACTTAAGCTTAAAGTGAGTCAATCAACTTCTACAACTGAATGCTCAAGGCCGCAAGGTCAGACACGTGAATACTGCTCGTCTGATGTGGCATTAACCCTTATGCTACCGGACACAACGCGTGCGCCGACGGCGGACTCGGACCGCTCGATCTCCATCAATTCATCAACAGCATCAGTGCTTTCCCGCAAACCGACCACCCAGGACAAGCCCATTAAGACGCTCTCCACTCAAGTACACGGCACTCACTGAACCTACACTAACCTCCTCCTAAATACACCACAATGACAGGTCACCGAAGTATAACCGTGTAGCAAGGACCGCGGCCTGGTTGATCTGATCAACCAAGGTGGTCATATCGCCTCAGTTATAACTCGATTCACCACACTGTAGAGCACTATAAAGGGGTCACTAATCATTCTATCACATTCAAGATATCTTAACCAATACCAAATGCGTAAGTAAAATCTAGCAGGGAAACTGCATGGAAACTACATCTAAATTATTAATTAATACTACGTTACTCAGACCGGAATATAAATACGTATAATAATAATCCTAAAACATAATAACCAATAAAGACTCACCTAGCTGTCCTCAAAGTTCTATATATTTAACTTACTCAAACTAACTGCAAAACGCGCGTCCGAGCATGTTCAGCTTTTGACGAACACCCTCTGCCTCCTAGCTCCTAAGACCGACCGACCTGTCTTACGACTCAAGACCAACTGCCCCGTTCCTTATTCCTTATCGTTCCTAAAAGGACTCCTAGCTAAGGGCTTTTCTCACGCTTATTCGTGTGCTGTCTTGCACATGTGCCCGTTTTTAATTGCTATCGTGGACCCTTGGCTATCCCTTTTTTATGGTATTCGTCTTAAGAATGCAATAAGTCTTTTGTTCATAATGGGCCGTCATCCACTTCGCAATACTTGAGATCATAAAGTTCACTTATTTATTAGGGTCTGCTTTTTGTTCGTCTAGACCTTAAATGCACGTGTAGATAACTTTCTAACATTACTTGTCTAAAATAACATTTATGTGAAGTTTTATAATTACGTGATTGTAGTACTATCACAAGGTACTAAAGCTTATTCTTTGCGTCATAATAAAGTGATGGCATTTTACCTTTTGGCTTAGTAAATGTCAACCTATTCAGTGCACAAAATGTATGCGTTAAGGAACTGTGTGGATTATAATGACTATTTTAAACCGACTTAAAAACACGAAGAAAAAGAAGGTTCTCAATTCGAGTTTTTTTTTCTAAAACAATAATCAAACGCAAAACTTATTAAAGCGTTGTTGACCATCCACGATTTTATTATTAAAATGTCCTCTATTACGTTTAATATTATTTCATTCCTAGAAGATAATAATACATTTATAATAAAATAGGAGGGAGACCATAATGATGTAGAATTACCATAAACGCTATAGAACCGTGGCACGGTCAATTTGACGCAGCGGGCGCGGCGGCCTGCGGGGCTGGCATTATCTTTGATGGGGCCAGCCAACACATACCTAGATACCAGCGCCATTGTTTCACTGCGTTACGTAACTTATAAGGTTTTAACTACGAATAAATTTTAAATTACTAGGAAATATAAAAATTATATCTAAAATTATTTAAGTTCACAACCAGGAGTTGCCAACCCTCGCACCGCTAGGTATCTTTAGAAAAAATCCAATAAAACCTAACCACGGTTTTATTTAAGTCCCTCTACTTATATAAAGATATGTTTTTTCTGACTTATACCTACTCGAAACACACCTCCGTGCGAACAAGATGGACTAAAAAAGCCATCTACGATGTCAAACAAAAAAAAAAGTGACACGTAGGAATGGCCATGCTTACGAATTTAATGCCAATGTAAGATGAATTTGGATTTTAGAACTTCTAAGTGACAAACCATATCCGATAAGTTAACAAATAATGATAGTACTTACAGTAGTAGGTATTTACATGTATTACAAAAACAGTATAATGGATATCGATAAAGATTGTACGAGTATATTTAATTATCTATCAGTTTTTTATAATATTTCAGACATCTAACACACAACGCCATCTAGTTTCTACTAAGCAGAGCTTGTACTATGAAAGCTAGATTAACTGATTTAATACTTTTACATTTTTTTTCGTAAAAACATACATATTGTACATAGAAAACACTCAAACTCCGAAACAAATATTTGCAGGTCATACAAACATTTGGTCCGAGCCGGGAATCGAGAACCGAAACCGAGGCCTCAGCACAGCAGTCGCATATGCTACCACTGCACCACCGAAGCAGCCTACCTCGCTTTCATAGTAAGCAAGTCATTGTCTTAAACGTCTAAGACTGTTGTTTACTTTTATGGGATTAAATTGTATCATAATCATCTCTATATTACATTAAATTTACATGTATAAAATGAAGTCGCTTTTTTTTCTTGTACGCTTAGATCTTTCGAACTACGCAACGGATTTTAATGCGGAGAGAGAGATCTCACCAATAGAGAAGGTAATTCAAGGTGAAGAGTTATATGAATCATCATCATCAACAGCCTTTAATGGTCCACTGCTGGACATAAGCCTCTCCTTAGAAAGGAGGTTTTGGCCTACTATACCACGCTGCCCAGACGGGTTGGTATAGGGTTTGTTTCAAGTTTTCCTTCTCTCTGCAGTCTTGTTGTCCTGCGTAATTTGTTCCCTTAGTCGCCTCTTACGACACCCACGGGATGAATAGGGGTGGTGACACTCTGTATTCTTAATCCGTCACCACACGGACGGATAGATGCTGATGTACAACACATCTAAACGTTTGACATTTACTCTGATTGGAAATGAGCATTCATAATAACGACACGCTTGTTGGTTCAACACTGCGTTTGATATTTGAATAATATTATGGTGATTTCATAAACCGAATAGTATGCTTTAGCGACTAGTTAGAGGAGAGGTAATGTGTAATAAATCTAAAATTATTAACACGGGTGGTAGGTTAACGGTAACGGTGGTTAACGGGTAGACACGGGTGGAGATACTAGACTTTAAGGTTGATATAGATACACAAACATTAAATAGTAAAATGTTCTGAAATACGTCACAGAGAGGAGACCGATGGTTGATGCGCAAATTCTTAGTTTTCCAATCATATCAATATATATTATTAATGTCTGAAAGCAATTGTTTTTCTACTTTGTTTTCAGAGAAGGCGTGTCAAATTTTATAAGATTTTTGTAATTGAAACAGACAGCTCCCCAATTCTTAGACAACTTATAAAAATTTACCTCTACACTGTTCAACATGATAGTACAATAACGACAAGGCCTATTAAAAACTCAATATTGTCATTGTACTAATGGTAAATTTTTATGCACTGCTACAACTCTAGAAAGATACCTAAGTACTTTTAAACCTCTTTGTCTTTGTTTGCATCAAGAGGTCGTTGAGCTACTCATTAAGTCGATAAGAAAAGCATTAGGCTGTCGTGTCGCCGGGTGTGCGTTATCATTATTATATGTAGGTAGTACGAGGTCTCGTTAGGCTATATCACGTTACTGAAACTGGCACTAACCGCGACTTGACCCTTTGCACTCAACTGATTTGTGCCAACCTAAACCATAACGATATATCTTGTCTTGAGATAAGATATACATTATGCTAAAAATACAATCAGATTAAGTGTAATTTGATTGTAAGTTCTTATATTGAAAAATTGGTGTCGTTTGTAAACTCATTTTTTTCGTATTTTGTGGAAATACAATTGCAATTTTTGGAATCAAGCTACAATTACATTTATAGTAAAGAATGAATCTGGATAACAAACTAATGATTTATAATAAAAGGACATACTACAACTTTTGTTATGGTTTGTGCCTGCAGTCTATGTTAATTAGTGTGGTGTTTGAGACGCATTTTAAATCAAAGTTTCAGAATCGCATTTTATATAGAATAGGAGAACAACCGAAGTATCTGATCTTTATGAAACAGTGAAGAGTGATACATGAGTACTGGTCTGGCTGCGGTCGATGATCCTAGATAGATAATAATATAGAGTAGACCAGTGTTTATAGCAGAGCATACTGGATTAATTACCAGAACCGTTCTGATTTGATGCGATCGTCGTCATCGTCAGCCTATCGCAGTCCACTGCTGGACATAGGCCTCTCCCATTGCACGCCACTTAGATCGATTTTGGGCTTCTCGCATCCAGCTCCTGCCAGCCATCTTGCGCAAATCGTCACTCCACCTGGCCTGTGGGCGTCCTACACTACGTTTGCCGAGACGCGGTCTCCACTCAAGAACTCGTTTTCCCCAACGGTTATCGGTTCTGCGGCTAATATGGCCAGCCCACTGCCACTTCAGCTTGCTGATCCGGTACGCTATGTCGGTGACCTTAGTTCTCTGCCGGATCACCTCATTTCTGATGCGATCCCTTAGAGAAACGCCGAGCATAGCCCTTTCCATAGCACGTTGAGCGACTTTGAACTTGTGGACCAGCCGTACCGTAAGTGTCCACGTTTCAGCTCCGTATGTCATGACGGGTAGGACGCACTTATTAAAGACTTTCGTCTTAAGGCACTGTGGGATCGACGATGAGAAGACTCGACGTAGCTTCCCAAACGCTGCCCAACCCAACCGAATTCTTCTGTTCACCTCGTCCTCGAAGTTGTTTCTACCTAACTGCAATGTCTGCCCGAGGTACACATAATTTTGAACAACTTCGAGAACGGCACCGTGTACCGCAATCGGTTCCGGTAGTACATGTTCGTTGAACATGACCTTGGTTTTATCCAAGTTCATCCGTAGGCCGATGCGTACAGAAGTGTCAGCTAAGTCATTCAGCATTTGCTGTAGGTCCTGCAACGTCTCTGCCATGATGACGATGTCATCTGCAAATCGCAAGTGAGAGATGTATTCGCCATTGATATTGATGCCACGCCCTTTCCAGTGCAGCGTCTTGAACATGTCCTCCATTGCATTTGTGAACAATTTCGGGGAAATAACGTCCCCTTGTCTCACTCCTCGATGCAATGGTACGGGCCTTGTTTGCTGATTCTGTACTTGGACGGACATGGTGGCGGCTTCGTAGAGACATCTCATCACTTGGATGTATCGCCAATCTACTTGGCAACGCTGCAGGGACTCCAGAACAGACCAGATCTCGATCGAGTCAAAGGCTTTCTCATAGTCCACGAATGCTAGACACAGGGGCTGATTATATTCTTCGGTCTTCTGTATAATCTGCCGCACTGTGTGGATGTGGTCTATGGTGCCATATCCGCTCCGAAACCCAGCTTGCTCCGGTGGTTGGAATTCGTCGAGTCTTTGCGCAAGACGGTTCGTGATGACTCTCGAAAAACAGCTTGTAGACGTGGCTTAGAAGGGATATGGGTCGATAGTTCTTCAACCTGGTCTTGTCACCCTTTTTGAAGAACAAGACGACCACACTCCTACTCCACGCTTCTGGAGTTCTCCCTTCAAACAGGACAGCGTTGAAGAGCTTTTGGAGCTCCCTTAGTACGGGTTTACCCCCGGCCTTCAGCAGCTCTGTTGTAACGCCATCCTCTCCAGGGGCTTTTCCATTTTTCAGCTGTCCAAGAGCCATCTCGATTTCGTCAATGCTAACTTCTGGCAGGTCTTCGGTGTAGTGACGTGTTAATGTGGCTCTAGAGTCCTCATTTTCGGGATCAGGTCGAGATGCATGCGAAGCGTATAACCGGCCATAGAAGCTTTCCACTTCCAAAAGGACTGCCGGCTTCGAAGCAACGACTTCTCCACTTTCTGTAGTCAACTTTGTCAGATGGCTTCTTCCAAAAGATTGTACGAACACTTTTGACCCCCGATTTTGCTCGATCGCTCTTTCAATTGAAAGAGTATTGGAGCAACGGAGGTCGTGTCGTACGAGTTTGCTGATCTCTCGGTTTAGAGTCCGCTTTGCCGACAAAGTGACAGGTGGGTTTTCACGTCGTTTCTTCATCAGCCCTAGGGTCCCCTCTGAAAGCTTCGACTTCCTGCCCTTACGCTGCATTTCACAAAATCTTATACCTTCTTCCCTGAGGATCTGAACCACATTTTTGAGGTTCTGGTTTACGTCGATTGTGGTTTCCACGGCAGCGAATCGGTTTTCCAGTTTTGACTGGAACGTTTCAGATCCTGTCATGTCTTGGAGCCGAGTTGGTCGGAGCCTGGATTTCATCAAACAGACACGTTCCGCCTTAAAGTTGATATTCAGAGAGCCCCGGACAAGTCGGTGGTCACTACCGGTATTAAACCTATTGATCACTGAGACGTCTCTGAATATGTGCTTTCTATCCGTCATGATGAAATCGATCTCATTTCTAGTCATAGCGTCGGGGCTTTGCCACGTCCACTTCCTTTGGGGCTGTTTCTTGAAGAAAGAATTCATCAAAAACAGCCCCTCCCGTTCGAGGAAGTTGACCAGCATTTGCCCCCTATGATTCCTGCTTCCAAATCCATGGGATCCTACTACCGATTCGCCGCAATTCTGTACTCCCACTTTAGCGTTGAAGTCACCCATAACAACGTTGT